AGAGAGAACATTAACAAAGAACTAATTCCGAAAAATCCCAGAACGGAAGGACATGAATTTCCAGATTGAACAAGCCCGCTGCATGTTCAGCATAATGGATTTTAAAAGGACACACAACAAGACACGTGATTGTAAGAATCTGGAAATCTGAGATTTTTTTTTTTTTTTTTCTGCAAGAGGAAAATCTTGAAAACTTCCAGGGGAAAATAAAGGAGATCATACAAAAAAGGATTGGCTATCAGAATGGCATTGAACTTCTCAACGATCCTGGAAACTGAAACATAAAAATGGAACAAAAACTTTAAACTTCTGAGAAAAGAAAGTATTTCTCTTTTAAAGCCTAAATTCAGTCAAGCCATGAGTCACGTGTGAGGGCAGAAAAAAACATTATTTTCAATTGCGCAAGTTATCGAAAACTTTACCTCCCATGCATCCATCCTTTCTTGGGAAAATGATTTGTAGAGGGTGTATTCCACCAAAAAAATAGGACAAGAAATAAGAAAATATAAGGTCCAGAAAATTCATCCAAAGGAGGAGGATGAAAGGAATCTTCAGGACGATGGTGAAAAAGATACTAATGCGTTAGCGGGAAGATTTCTACTTAGGGTACAGTTGAGGACGCATCAAGGACAGATATTGAGAAAACAAACAAAGAAGCCAGACAGATATGAGCACAAGAGAAAACAAAAAGGTGTGCAAGAACCTTAATGTTGGGGCAGCTGGGTGGCTCAGTCAGTTAAGCATCCGACTTCAGCTCAGGTCATGATCCCAGCGTTAGCGTCGGGCTCTGTGCTGCCTGCTCAGAGCCTGGAGCCTTCTTCAGATTCTGTGTCTCCTTCTCTTTCTGCCCCTCCCCCGCTCATGCTCCGTCTCTCAAAAATAAATAAATGTTAAAAAATTTAAAAAAAAAAGAACCTCAATGTCATCAGAACGTGAACAATAATAGTATAATCATAATATAAATGCTGAGTATTAATCTAGCAAAATCTGTAACTCGGGAGGATGGAACGTATGTCTGTGTTTGTTGGAGTATTGGAGAAAGAAAGCTACTCTTTACTACTACAGGTAGTGCCTAAGAATAAACTCACAAGGCAGCATCATAATCATGTTACTTAGAAATTTGGAGGTAAAAACTAAAAGAAACAGCTAAAAGAATCACAATTTTTTGTCGCTGAGAAAAGAGAAGGGGCAGAAAATAAGCTACACACCAATATATTTTCACAGCAATTAACGTTTCTCCAACACTAAAGTGAATCGTGTTTCTCCCTCTTCTTGTACAGGTGAAGTCCAAGACCCAGACTATGGAGAGTGTGTGCCTTGTGAAGAAGGATGCCTGGGATGCAACTTGGGTATGCCACTTGGTTTTTTTTGCCTAAAGAGTTGATATAGCATTTTTTTTCTTTTTCCCCACACATCCTCATTGTTATCACCAATGTCACCATCAATGCCCACTAAGCAGGCTCACTCTTATGAGACAGGGTCACTGCAAGACATGTTCCCTTTTGAGGCAAAGGAGAGGTCACTTATCTTAATGAAACCCAAGTTTAGGAAAGGACAGGCATCTTTTCCTCTGGTTGTTAGCTATCTAGTGGGGGACATCCGCAACCACATTTCCAGTTGCATAGGACGTGACCTCTCCTTAGCTTCTCAAGGTCACAAATATGGAGTGAAACAATGGTGGGAGAAAGGAACTGAAGCAAAGAAATGCCTAATTAATCTAACTCACTTGGCATGTGATTCGCAAAAACTTGTCAGGAGTATAGGGATTTTCCTTTGCAGAATGACTCTATTGGTTGAAGCCTAAGACAGTCCTTTGAGAAGAAACCAATATGGTGACAGTGAGTTAAAATCCCCACCGTACAACAAACAGTTGTCAGTCTTCCATATACTTCCCTAATTCAAATCACTGATCCCTTTCTCCCCATGCATACCTGGTTCTCCAGTGGAAAGGAGGAGAGGAAGTCTACACCACACAGAATCGTTGGATTGGGTGTAAAATTAAATATAGGGAGGGCGCCAAATTCCAAGAATGTATCTTAATGTAAACTTAGTCAAGTCACTGAAAATAATTAAACATGTGGGTCTGTAGATCTTTGAAAGGAAACCCAACCTAAATTAAAGATTGATGGAGTAATTTCTATTCATGGAATTTCCATGAAGCTCTATGATTGGTTAACGTCTGCTTCTAAAACTTTAATGTGCACACAGATCCCACGGGGGATTTGTTAAAATGCAAATTCTGATTCACAGGTCTAGGTAGGGCCTGAGAATTAGCTTCTAATAAGCTGCCTGGTGAAGCCAAGGCTTCGTCAAACACTCATGAGGTTGCAAGGGGTCAGACTGTGGCAGGATTAAGTAGAATCTTTATTGGTTTTTCCCTAATAGATGTCCTTGAATTCTTAAATATTATACATGAATTCTCATTTATCTGATGACTGTCATGGATTCTTTCCACCTTAAATGGAAATTATGTATTTTCTATAATATCTGTAACTACCAAACAGAGTTTTTAGGACCTTGAATACCATCCTGCCATTACCTGCCACTGTGAAATGGGGCATATGCTTTGGAAAATAAAACATACGAATGAAAATCACACTTAGGAAGGGGCTCCATTTAGAGGCTTATCAGCCATCTAAGGGTAAAATGCTAATTTTCTGGGAAGCACACATAGACCTCAACGTAAGTAATAAAAGTACTAAAGTTGAAAAGATAAGCAAATTCCCGCATACCTTGTGAAGTGATAGGAGGCGGTCCTTCTTGCAGGGAGCCAGGACAAATGTCTTGACTGTCTTGATTTCACATTTTGCCTACTTCAGACCATATCGTCTCATCAGGTTTCGCATCCCAGCTAACTTTTGTGGTCTCCATTTCAACGTTTGCTATTATTGTATGTTGCGTGACCATGCTAGCTAGCATCTTTGTGTATCACAGAAAGGGGTGTGTACGTGTGTGGGTGGGTGTGGGTGTGTGTCTGCCTCTCTGTAAAATCTCAAAACTTGGAAACAATGACAACCGTGATCACTAAGGATACACGCTGTGCCCACTCTTCCCTTAGCTGATCTGGCTACAGAGGGGACCAAGTGTAGCCCCTGGGAAAAAATAAAATCTGTACCAGACCTAGGCTATCTGGGGACTCAAAATCCAAAAGAATCAACTTGTAAGAAGAGATAAATTAGAACGTTTCACTCCCTCCGCAGTGTACTACTGAAATATTTAGTTCATTCACTCCTTTAAGAAATTTTGTCTACAATGTTGAGGGCTCCCTGGAATACTGGGAATTGAAAGCTGACAACGGTTGTGATCCCACTAGAAGGCCCTCTCTGGCTGTTACAAGCGACATACCTTGAACCAAGTCTTTTACAAGGCAACCTGCCAGAATAGAGAGAGCTACACTGTTCAGTGGGAATCACAGGAGAGTGACTAGAACATTCTAAGTGCTAATTTCTCATTTTAAATTAGAAAATTTCTCTTAATGTATAAAGTTTCTATATGTTGGACTTCGTGTATTTTTACACTGTCCTGGCCGAGGTCAATTGTCACTTTCTGGGGTCTCTGTTGATCTCTGCAGTTGAATTCATTCTTTTTTCTTTCCTCCTCTTATTTGCAAACCAACGATAATACTCTTTACAGCTGATCTGTGTAATATTTGGTGCATACACATTTTTCTGCTTCGACGCTAAACTACTTAGAATAAGCTCAATGACTTATACACTGTGCTACCAAAAGAACTAGCAGCAGGGCCTAGGATATAATAAATGTATAATATTTGTTGAATTGAATTTGAGAGTTGCTGGAACTTAGAGGGGAGATGTGCGGCTCAAGACACCCAGGGATCTAGATATGATGTTTTCTCTATTCAAACTTTGTTTATGGGCCAAGAAGGGAAAATAAATCACACAATGCAGAAATAAATAGCTTTTCATAAAATATTAGAACCATTAGGGAGATCTGAAGAGGACATGGTTAGTAAACCATAAAATTTCATAATTTTAATAAAATGCAAATATAAATTTTAAAAGATACGAATAACGTACCATAGATTTTCCTCAGATTCTTCTTGTGAGACAGGATATCATCCTTTAGAGAAAACTTGACTTTCTTCCATTTTAATAATGTAGATTCATCTTTGAACCAGAGTCAGACAACCTCTAGAAGAGTTAGAGAAAAGTGAAATCAGTCACTTTGAGACATTTTCTCTACACCATGTAATGATTAGTTGTTGGAAATAGTGGATTTTTTTTCTGAGCTTTTTATTCCTTTCCAGATATTTAGTGCAACTAGAGAGTAAGATTTTTTATACCCAATGAAAAAGAACTCAAATTCCAGATTGACTCCAATCTTGTCTAGTTCCTGGGTGGAGTTGTTTATCATTCCGAAGACTTACCAGAAAGAGGAGAGAAAAGGAAACATGACCAAAAAGTGGCTGTTGTATTTTGAAGAAAATATTGAATTTGCTATTCTAGGATGGAACGACGGTGTTTTTGTTATTATGGGGTTAGATTTCTTTTTTATTGAGATATAACTGACATCAAAAATTACATAGTTTCAGGTGTACAAGTAGTGATTCAATATTTATAGACATTGTGATCATCACAATAAGTCTAGTTCACATCTGTCACTTTAGAGTTACAGACTTATTTTTTCTTGTGATGAGAACTTTTATAATCTACTGTCTTAGCACCTTTCACATATACAATGCAGTATTATTAACTATAGCCATCATGCTACACATTATATTCCCAGGATTTATTCATTTTAGAAGTAAAATTTTCTTCCTTTGGACATCCTTCACCCTTTACCTCTGGCAATCACCAGTCTGTTCTCTCTTAGATTCCTCCTCTTTATTAGGCTGAAAACAAACAGACAGCATTTTATATAATATCTTCTTGTTCCAAAATGATTGGAATCAAAATTCTTTCTCTTCCTAGCTGGTATCTTGAATGGAAATTGTAACTAAGATAAATCAAAGTTTTCTAAATTTTATTTCTTCATTAATTGAGAGAATAAGTAAATGGAGTCATTTTTACTTGATGCTTTGAGGTGCCTTTTTTGGTTTTGTTTTAATTTGGAGATATAGCAATAGGCGACACCTGATATAAAATAAGATTTGGGGCCTATACTTACAACACCACTGACTTATTAATCGATTTGAATCAAAATTGCTACTATCTGTTCACTTCCTTACCTTGTCAATAAAATAGATGTCACCGTGCCTTTATCTTGGCTTAGAAGTAGGTAATAAAAAGCCATTAATTTTTTCTCATTTAAATGGCTTTAGTCCCTACTCTTGGGGAAAAATATACACAAATTAAAAATTTTTAAGTACCTGTAATAAAAGAAAAAGGCCATAGGATCAAAGTGTTCTAAAAATAGAAGAGGAAGGAATGCTTCCAAATTCATCCTATGAAGCCAGCATTACCCTGATAACAAAACCAGACAAGACACTAGGAGGAGGAGGAGGAGGAGGAGGAGGAGGAGGAGGAGGAGGAGGAGGAGGAGGAGGAGGAGGAGGAGGAGGAGGAGAAGGACGAGGAGGAGGAGGAGAAGGAGAAAAAGAAGAAGAAAAGAAGAAGAAGAAGAAGAAGAAGAAGAAGAAGAAGAAGAAAGGGAGAGAGAGAGGAAGGAAGGAAGGAAGGAAGGAAGGAAGGAAGGAAGGAAGGAAGGAAGGAAACTACAGGCCAATATCCCTGATGAATATAGATACAAAAATCCTCAACAAAATAAGAGCAAGCTGAGCTCAACAATATTTTCAAAGGATCATTCCCCATGATCAGTTAGGACTTATTCTGAGGATACAAGAGTAGTTCAATATTCATAAATCAATCAACTTGATACATATTAACAAAATGAAAGATTAAAAAACATAATCATCTCAATAAATGCAGAAAAAGCATTTGACAAAATTCAACATCCATTCATGATAAAACCTCTCGATAGAACGGATGTAGGGGGAACATACCTCAACACTATAAAGGTCTTCTATGAAAAACCTATAGCTAGTATTATACTCAATGGTGAAAACTGAAAGCTTTTCCTCTAAGATCAGAAACGAGACAAAAATATCCACTCTCATTACTTTTATTCAACACAGTATTGGAAATCCTAGCCTCAGCAATCAGACAAGAAAAAGAAATAAAAGGCATCCAAATCAGAAATGAAGTAACACTGTCACTATTTGTAGGCAACATGATACTATACATACAAAACTCTAAAGACTCCATCAAAAAAACTAATAGAATAAATGAATTCAGTACATTTGTAGCATATAAAATCAATATACAGAAAAATGTTGCATTTCTGTACACTAATAACAAAGTCGAAGAAAGATAAATTAAGAAAACAATCT